GTCGTTTTATATTGGTGTATAGCGTTAAAAAAATATAGCTTATGTGCAATTGCAACGATAAACTTTTTGTGATTTTTTAACGATAAGTTAGACATCGATGCCTAATATAATTTCGAAATGCACATTCAATTTTTTATAAAAAATAGGGCAGTGTAATATGAACAAGTTTTATCATTAAACCTCCAGTTTGCTAATAATCACTTTATCCTTACTACGTAACCATTGACAACAGCAACTATTACACGATAAGATCTTCAAACTTTTTAGCAATTTCATACCAAGGCAAAGAGTTCAGCAAATACTCAAAAACGGCTTATAACAAAATTTTTTTCTTCGACAGTTCATTTTTAAAGTAGATTTATTCAAAGCTTCTATAATTATAAGTCCATAGTCCTATTTGATACTTTTTCCATTAAAGGCTACACCTTTTCATATTAACTAAATTTTAATATTAACTGCAGGTCCATACGATAATTCAAATGGTCCCAGTTTACGAGTAAGTATTTTTTCTGTTAAGAGTAAACCATTCGTCTCTTGCTCCTTGATTTTCGTGATGTATTCTTCCTCGAGATCTAGTTCATCTTTCTTGGATATTAAGAAACTAGTGACTTGTTCCGAACTCTAATCTTTAAAGTTTGTTAAAGGGTTTGTAGAAATATCTTATACTTTGCTTGCCTGCTAAATTTTAATAGGATCACAAATGACAAGTACCTAAATGTAATATTCGAACTTAATAAACATTTACAGCACATATATCTTCCTTTTTCCACCCCAAAACGTCTTTTAGTTCACCCAAAATGTCGCCTAAATATATCAGTTCTGTTATGTGAGACGCGGGTAAACTAGAATTCATACGAGCGAGGGAGGAAAATACGATATAAGCACGAGGCTCGTGTTGAAGAAGATCATGAAAAGATGGTTTGTCCAATGCGATCCATGTATGAATGTCATTGGCAAGAATGCGATCCATTGCATTTACTGTCTGTGTGTACCAGATCTCCATAAGCCAGTATAGTTCGCTCATTCGAAAGTCTTCTACACCTTCCAAGTCGTCATCATGAGAGATTAGTTCCTTCATCTCTGCAGAGGCTTTAATAGTACACAGTTGCCAGCTTAGCCCCTTTACTGCTTGCTCATATTCTTCTTTTGTCATGCGTCTCGTAGGTGCAAGGACGAAATGTAATCCTGTTTGATTTCTCCCCGGAAACCGGAGTTTCATTTTATGAGTATAAAATAAACGCAATCCTTCTGAAAGTAATGTTCCTTCAGGAAGAAAGTAGCAGGGTACTTCCATATTATTAAGTCTTTCATTGGGGACGTTATGAGGTGTCTCCAAAGGTACAAAACAGGAAACACCTTTTGGATCTCTATCGTTGATTCCATAATGTTTAATATACCTATTATCTAAGTTGTCAAGTTTATTGTCTCTGCTATGAAGTTCCTGAAGCATAGCGTCAGGGCGGTGAATTGGCCAATGAGCTTGCATAAAGCTCATTCCCTTCACTAGCTTTTCCATTACAACAATCTTACAGGATTTAAAGCATAAACAAGTACTTCAGTACTTAATGGTGTTTTAAGTCAAATGTAAATAATTTATCCTATTGGTTAAGGTGTGATATACGCCAGAATTTAAGTTTAATTTTTAAGTTTATTATATTGTCGCGGGTCAGGGGTCTATCAGCAGTAACGGCGAAATCCTAGACTTCGCGACACTTCGACAGGGGTATCTATTATAACAGGGGGGCTTAAAGGCAGAAAGAGGCATAGATTTAGCGAGTTTGTGTGATTTGGGGGGGATTTTATTGATCAGAACAGTGTGATAAGTAGGTCGATTTTAACACTCTTTTATTAACTAATTTTTTCACCACTCTTCTACTATGTTTCTTTATATCATTTTTATAGCAAAAGAAAATAAAAGAAATAAAAGAAATAATGAAAATAAAAGAAATAACAAGGTTGAGGGTCGATTACCTGTTTTGGCAACCTCTATAATGTGCAATCGTCATTTTTCCAATTTCTAAGCCATATTATTGATTGTCGTTTCCCCATAACAATATAAAAAAAAGTTTTTTTAAATTCAAAAATTCAAAAATTTACAAATTAATAAAATTTTTGATTTTAATTGATTTTTAATACTCAAAAATTTAATTTCAAAATTTAATTTTAAAAAATTTTACAACTTATTTTTATATAAAATTTATATTATAATCTCTAGATTTTAAGCTTTATTTTAAGATTTTAATTTTTAATTTTATGCAATAATTTTTGAATATCAAATAAATAAAAAATTTCAAAAAATTTATCATACATTGTATATTTAATATATTAGAAAAAATATATAATGGTGGCAAAAAAAATATTTATCTTTTTTTATTTGTAAAAAAATTTTTTTATAAATTAACAATAAATTTTTTTAATAAAATTATATTGCATATGATTTAATTTAATTTATTGTTTTTTTATTTAATTTTGTATTAAATTCAAATGTTATAAAGTCTGTATATTTAAAATTTCATTAAACATTCTAATAAAAAAATTTTATAAAAAAATTCTTTCACTTCACAGAATTATAAATAAAAATAAAATATTTTTTTTTGAATTTTTTTTATATAAATAAATATTATCTTTTTATTTATTTGTATATATACAATATATCAAAGTATATGTATTTAAAAAAAACTAATATTTCTTAAATATAAAATATAATATTTAAATATAGCCTTTCTACAATAATTATATAACTTATATTAAAAAATTTTTTTAAATCAATATTATAATTAAGCAATACTGAATGGCTATAAATATCTATTTAAAATTTTGTATAATAAAATTATAATAATTAGTAAAAATAGTTAAATTTGATTTGGATAAAAGTTTTAAAAATAAAAATAAATATTAATTATTGGATTATTATAAAATTAATATTGTTATTTGTTTTTGGTTTTGTTTTTTATATTGAAATTTTTATTTTATTTAATGCTTAAAAATAAGAATCTCAATAATTTTCTTGGATTTTGTATTTAAATTTCTAGTTTATATTAAATTAAGAAGTGAAGTATACTGCATTATTATTTTAATAATATTTTGAATCTCATGTAATTATATGGAATTTTGTTTGATTTTAACTTTTGGAATTATATTTATAAATAATAAAATATTTATAGTATTTTATTAGAATTTTTAGATAAAATTATATAAATATCAAAAAATATGTTAGTTTAATTACAAATATCAAATATCGAAAAAATATTAATGATAATTTCATATATTAATTTTATTGTTTGTTATATATTAAATAATAATTAATTATTATTATTTGATTAAAATATAAAATTAATAGATTTATTATTTAACTAATTATATTTTTTGCTAAAGAATATTTAAAAATATGTTGTATATTTTTTATATGAAAGTTGTATTTAAAGTAATAAAAAATTTTATATTATTCAAAATATATATAATAAATAAATTTATAAGTAAAAAGAATTTTTTAAAACAATTTAATTTTGAAAGTAATCATATTGCTAAACTTATTCTTATAAAACCGTTTAATGGATTTGTTTAAAAAATAAATTATTTTAAATCAAAAAAATAGCAAATATTTTAAATACAAAAAAGTCCTCACAAATTATATATATATTAATGATAAAATTTTATTTTAATTACTTTTTTAAATTAAAATTGTTAATTGTAAAGTTTTAAAAAAATATAAAAGAAAATTATTTTATTATACAATTTTAATAAATTTGAATTTAGTAAAATTAATTGTAATTACAGTATTTTTTGTACTGTTTTAAAAATTAAATGTAATACAAATTAGTTACTTGAAATAAAAAAAAAAGTAAGTAAATAAAAAGAATTATAATTAAATAAAAAAATATGTTCATTTGTTAATACTGAGTCTGTAAGTTCTTCAATAATATTATATAAGCAATATTTTAAATTAAATGAAATGTTTTAATATTATATAAAAAATTTTAATGTTATTTTATTTATAAATAATATCAAATAAATTTTTTGATTATATATAATAATAATAATAATAAACCAATAATTGATTATATTTTTTTATGATGTTACAAAATTTTAATTTAAAAAATAGAATTTATTTATACAGTATAAATATATTCATAAAAAAATTTTGAATTTAATTTAAATTTTAAAAAGTGATGATTTAATTAAATACATGTTTTGAATTTTTAATTATCATTTTAAAGATGTGATTTGATATTTTTTAAATAAAGTTGGAATTATTTTCTTATAATAAAATTCATTTTATAAAAACAATGATGCAATGATTATACGTATATGTTACAAGACTAAAAAAAATTTAAAAAAAATTATTTTATTTTAAATTTATAATTTTATGAAATAATAAGTCTTTCTTTTTTTTTTTTAATTAGCTAAGGGCATTAGATATGAGAAAATAATAAGTCTTTCTATATTATTTTTATTTAAATAAATTAATCTAATGTTTTTCATTTGCTGGTTTCTTAATATTTGGTTTTGGCAATAAAAATATTATTAAAAAAAATATTATTATTATTCCAAAATACCAATAAATTTATTTAGCTAATATTAATATTTTTACAAATGAAAAAATCTGTCACCTATACTATATGTTAACCATTTTCTTTTATTTTGATTTTACTTCGATGGGCATTGTAAATTCAATAATACAATATAATAGCTATCGAAAGAAAAGCCATTAAAGAAAAAATTTTATTAAGAACATTCTTAAATAAGTATGTCGTAAGATCAAGGAAGAATAAAGTTTTAAAAGTTTTGGCGATACAGAATATGTTAATAAAAACACATCGACAGAATATTTTAAATTTACAAGCTGCGGAAATTTGATAGATATTTTCTATGAAAATTTAAATATCAAGTTACAAGAATAAGTGTTAAAATGTAATGCCAAAAAGAGAACAAAATGCAGTGGATATTGAGATGAACAATAGAGGAATCTGTAAATAACAAATCAAGTAAAACTATTGCCTCTACCAATCTTTCTTTTTCTTAATTCGCATTTTTAGTTCACTGCAATTTCTAAGTGAAGTCATATGATACTTTATTGGCACGTTCATATCTATTAGCTCGACGTTGTATTTTCTGTATAATAAAGCCAAGAAAGTTTTTAACTCCAATATTGCCAAATTTTTTCCAGGGCCTGTCAAAAGAGTAAACGAACGGAATTTTAACATCTTGTCGAACATTATTTATATAGAATTATCTCTGATAAATAAATGACTTACAAATTCTTTTCCCCAAACTAAAAGAGTAAAGAGGTTTTTTACTATCCGGGTGGCTCTTGTCCATAAACCTTTCTGGATTAAACTCTTCCGGGTTCGTCCATGAAGATTTGTGATTATGAATTCCTTGTAAATTAATAAAGAATTGAGTGTTTGCAGGAAATTTTATACCGCCAATTATATCAGGATTGTTGTTTTTTTTAAACATAATGGGAACCGTGGAGAATATTCGAAAACCTAGATTTTTAATATAAAAGAAATTTTTTTAGAATACTGAATCCACGAACAACATTTACAGCATATTGATAAATTATTTACATTCTTTAATTATGGCATCGCAATATTCAAGGTTCTCCACTTCTTCATAAGTAATTTTGTGGTTAGGATCTTTTCCCAAGACTCGATTGATCTCGTCTATCAACCGTTCTCTAACTTTTGGATAATGAGATATGTAGTGAACCACAAAGCAGAGAGTATTTGATGCCTAATTTTTAATTAAATATTATAAAAAAATGAATGAATAGATGAATATTACTTGGAGCGTAAAAGACAATTGTCGGGAATAAAAATTATTCACCGTATCGATTCCACCTGCTATAGCTTCCATCATATTTCCACAGATTTCTTTGTCAGACATCGGTTGATCGTGTAGACCATCCACAATTTTCTCGGTAATATCACGTGGAGTATTTATGGTGAGGAACATTGTTAATAAGTCATGAGATAATTCTTGATCTTTTGGTGTTTCGTCAATCTCTTTTCTTCTCTCCTTGATGATATGAAGGATACTCCTCCTATACCAATCTATTTTCTCTTTCAATCCATGGGTGAATCCTCTGATTCCCGGGAATTCTCGAATAAACTTTGGGAATAGCAAGAAGTATACAAGGCCGGAAACAAATTTATTGACAGCATCTATAAAAACGTCACTTTCTCTTAAGATTCCATCAGATATATCTGCCTTTTTACCAGTTGATACGCTATCGTAATAGCTATCAATTGAATTAACCGATTTACCGGCAATTATAGAGAATATGTTATCCGTGAAATATCTTTTCGACCATTCCGGAAACTCCAAGACAGTTTTTTCTCCGAGCTGTTCCCAATAACCTTCCATTACCTCGAAATTTTTCCGAACGCTTTCCAGTGATTGAATAACAAATGATTTGTTCAATAGTGTTCTCGTATAAAACCTTCGGTGATATTCCCAGGCTTGATAATTCTGGTTGAATACAGTTCCCGAATCCAACACTCCAATTTCTTTAAGGCCATCATTATCCGCTCTCGCTAAATCATGAAAGTTATCGTGTCTCATCACTTTCTGAATCAAATCTTCTCTGCAAAGCCAGATTAGTCGTCTGGAGCCCAAGTAAGTTTCATAAAAGTCTCCATATTTCTCTTGAAATTTAGTTGGCCACACAGATATATCGCCCCAAATTAGAGAAGGATTGCCAAATAAGGGAAGAGGAGTAGGACCGGGAAGAGGATTTTCGCGAGTAAAGTATTTGTAATAGAAATGAGAAATATAGATAATGAGAAGGACCAGCAAGATTGATAGAATGTCGAACATTTCCATTTCTTATTTCTCGCAATTTGAACCAGATAATTATTGCGGAATATTTATATATCTTGATAATTGTGGAGCGTCAGAAAATCTTGGATTTAATGGATTTAATAGATTTAATTAACGGGCGATCGGCCAACACACCTTAACATAGGAGTGAAAATCGCATTTCGATTTTACTTGGCACCTTACTTTTATTGTCTTACCTACGCCCGAGTATGATAGCCAAAGTCTTGGACTGTATCATTCAATGTGCGGATCTTACTTTAAACATACAACACAGTGTCAAACTTTTCCTTCAACACTCAGTTATCTTGTGTACGAAATTTTTTCAAGTTGTTTTATATATATCCTTTCTTGCACAGATGGTGAGAATATCTGGTACCAAATAAAATTACTACTAGAACTTTTCCGAAGAATTTCATTCGCATATGGAAAAGATCGAACCAATTTTATTTATCATCAAACGTTCTCTTTAATAATGCGGTCTTCGAATGAACAATTTTTTTGTCGGAATTAGCTACGTTTAATAATATACAGTAATTGGATCATCAATCATGGAAAAAATACTTATATTACCAAATCAATGCTACCTCTTTTGAGCACTAGCATGATAGATTTAACACAATAAGAAATGTCGATCTCTTTTTATAATCTTAACCTTTTTTCTTACTTGATGCATTAATTATTAGCAAATGATATGTAATGGCGTGTAATAAGAGAAAAAATTTAGAAAAAGTCAATCGACCATATGCAATGTAGTAAATCATCAAAAATTTCCAAACAAAATAAATTATCGGTATAGTAACGACTAATGCCACATGGAAAGTAAAATTTCCAGTCATGCTCCGACAGAATATTTCTTTGTTTCAGGATATCCTCATCAAGCGGTTAGAGATTGTACAGAATCAAAGGGAAAAGGATTAAACAAATATAAAATCGATAAGCTTTAAAATAAAAAATTCCTAAAACTGTTTTTTTTTTTTTGTTAATTACAATTAATTTATTTCATTTAGAAAACCAATCCGTTGATTATTTTATAGTTTGACCCATTCTAAATTATTAATTTTTTTTATTTATATTATTTATTTATATTATTTACTATGTTGTAAAAATACCTAAAAATCGATTTTTTACAAAAGGTATCAAGCAACTTTATTTTTTGATACAGTGCCTATATTTAAATTATGCTCCTTTTATTATTATACTCTTACTATCTTTGATTAAAAATATCAAATAAAAATTTGTTTAAACAAATACTATTTTGATATTTGTTTCAAAATATATTTATTCATTAGTTATTTTCGAAGGCGGGCAGGGATTTTTTTGTATCCCGTAATTATGATTCTAAAATTTGCATTATATATGTATAGTTAAAGGTAAGAGTCGGAAAATCATATTCAGCATTTTTGTCGCTTTCAAAGATAATTGCTCAATATACAGCGTGTTTCATTTTTATTCGCAAAAAAATTGTTGGTAATACATACACATGTAATTAACCAAAATTGAAAAGGAAGGTATTATCAATTTTAACAAATCAAAATGAATCTTTGACAAACTTTTCCATATATTCTTTATTTTTGATTCTTCTTTTATAATGCATATTGAAGTTAAAAAAACTGTCACTATCTTAAAATCAAAATCATTTTTTTTAAATGAGCATGTGATGCACGATTTTTATTAAACTAAAGCTTATAATTAGTACATCAACAAACTTTACATGAAAGCAACCTATTGCAATAAATTAATATATAAGATGAAACTCATTCAATCTTATATTATTGAAATAAAGATTTGTATATTACCAAAAAATACATATCTACTTAATAAAAATATTTCTTATGACAAATGGTTAGTAAAAAAAACTTTTTTTTTGTTATCATAAAAACTTTTATAATAAAATTTAATAAAACAATATTTTAATTATTATTATATAATATTTAAAATTCAGAGACCTATGGATCTATAGCACAGTGGTAATGCTCCATAGGTCACCAGGAGAAGGTCTAGGGTTCAACCCCGCCTGGTT